GTCGTCACCAGTGTCGTCACCAGTGTCATCTCCGGTATCATCGCCAGAGTCATCGCCAGAGTCGTCACCAGTGTCATCACCAGTGTCATCACCAGAGTCATCACCAGAGTCATCACCAGTTTCATCACCAGTTTCATCACCAGTTTCATCACCAGAATCATCGCCGGTATCTTCCCCAGAGTCATCGCCAGTATCCTCTCCGTCATCCCCATCATCGCCCGAACCATCATCAGTCGGCTGGGCAGCTTCAGAGCTAACCGGGGTAGCACTTGTGGAAGTTGCAACGCCCGAAGAAATGATCGGCTTAGATGATGACACAGTATGAGATGAAGTCTCGATGGCATTGCTACTGGTTATGTGCGCAGATCCCGAGGTTATGGTGTGGGATGCAGTGTGGGACGCAGAGTGCGATGCAGAGTGAGATTCAGGAGTGGAGGTCGGGTGCTCAGACCCTGTGTTTGTATGGTGGTGTGCAGCGCTGGAGGACAATTGATGAGATTCAGTGCTCGTCATATGTGTGTGGCTGCCGCTAGCAGACGACCCTGGGCTTGTGGTATGACTGTGAGTAGAAGTGCCTGCCGCAGACCCCTCCGAGACTGTCCGTGTTGATGTCCCTGGAGTTGGGGTTTGCACAAACTGGCCTCCCGATGCAGAGGTCTCATGAGCCGCACTACTCGAGGTGCTGTGGCTCTCGGGTGTCTTGGTGCTCGTAGTGTGAGTAGGTGTGGCCTTGGTCGATGTTGAGGTACTTTGATCCTCAGGTGTCTTGGTGCTGGTCGTATGAGTAGGTGTAGCCTTTGTCGAAGTCGAGGTGCTATGTACCTCTGGTGTCTTGGTACTCGTGGAAATAGAAGTATCCTTGGTCGAGGTTGAGGTACTGTGAGACTCGGGAGTCTTGGTGCTTGTTGTGTGAGTAGACGTATCCTTGGTCGAGGTCGAAATAGAAGTCTTGGATTTTGTGCTCGTCGTGTGAGTGGCCGTGTCCTTGGTCGAGGTAGTAGTCTTTGTCTTAGACTTTGTGCTCGTCTTACTCGACTTCTTGCTTGTCTTGCTGGACTTCTTGCTTGTCTTCTTTTTCTTCTTTCTAGCCACCAGCCGAGGGTGCTCGTCTTCATCCACCTCATGCTCAATGGCGGCAGAATCCGACTCAGCCAGCCAAGCTCCTGCTACCGGCGCAGGAGTGATACTAGGGTGAGAGGCTACCATATCGGTAGTAGGTAGATCAGCTCCCCAGGAGCTGGAAACCAGGCTGCCGGCCCACAGGGCCAGCAACAGTGTCCCCCTCAGTGTCGCAGGCATTTTCTGTGTTCACGATGCTTGGGAGACGGAAGTGGAATTGGCGGGTGAAGGCAATCTTATATGATCGCCCTGGTAACATAGCCGCATAGGGTTCAGCCGTGGCATGTTGAAACAGCTTTTTCTAGGGTCTTCGGCCCCATGTGTTGAATCTCTAGCTCATTAGTGACCGATAGATCTAAGAACTGATTTGGAGAGACTATCGAACCCAATGAGTGGTGGCCAACAGTGGGTCAACGGTCCTTCATATGGGGCGAAAATTGTTGCTCATTTGGTCTTGATAGTGTTGGGTCGGACGAACTGGTTGCGATTGACATCACTCATTCGAACTCGCTAAATTTATGTGTTTGTCATGCTTTGTTGCCCGGTGCTCCATTTCTACAGGTATCCTGTCTTGCAGAGCCGTACAGACGTGGACCAGTGTTTCTTCAAGGTTGGGAACCCGTGGAACTAGCTATTGTAAGTCACAAAGCAACCAAGGCAGAATGGGATTGAACTAACGAACTAATTGTGTAGCGAATGCGGCTGTAGTATGGGTCATTTCATCCAGAGACTAACAAGACTCATGGGACACCTCCAGCTAACTCAGAGTGTCCATTGCCCCTGGCGATCATTCTTGAGCTAAGAGAACTTGGCCCCATGGCCCCAAAGTGTGCTGGAAAGATCAGGTGTTTGCTTCCTGTTTGTTTACTGTTTGCCTGGGGATAACATTTCCAACCAGCCTCAAAATCGCCCCCACGTCAGCGACAAACACTGCCACACTAACATCAACCAGACATCCTCTTTCCCCTTCTCTCCTCTTCTTCCATCTTCTTTCATCTAGCTTCTATCTACCAACAGATACTTTGAACAACGGGAATATCAAGTGGATACCCGAAAAATAAATTGGCGTTAGTGGCCTTCACTAAGGTTCCCTCTCTCCTGAGCTCGACAAGCGAAGAGCCTGGAAGTCTCGAAGAAATGATTACCCGACGTGCTCAGCCTGACAGTGCAACTACTTATGATATACAGAGCCGATTTAGCCGATGTTGGCTCTCGAGTTCCAGACCTGTCCTTCCATCCGAATCAATGACAGGACTAGTATGCTTGTGTCAGCCCCCGACGCTCATGCAACATGCTACATACTACATGCTACATGCTACCTCGTGCTAACCAATCGAAAAAGTACCCTTGTGTTAGATTAGATAATATCTCTCAATGGCCAACATAACCCCCCTAGAGACGACTTTCTGTCAATGTCGCTGTCTGCGCCAGTCATAACCCCAAAGCCAGACCACTACCATCGCTGGAACGCACACAAAACACATGAATCCAATTACAGTAAAAGCCCACCCATTGCCGATGGCATCAATCATAGGAAGAATTGCAGCAGCTGCGCCAGCTCCGAGCCAGCATCGTGTAAGATTCATGGCAGCTGTTGCCGTCGCCGGACTCTCGGGGTAGATATCAACCATCAACGCACTCAAGGTATTCATTACTGCTGCAGAAGTATACCCAATGAGAAGAAGTAAAACGAGTGGGCCTGCAAGATTGGTCTCGTAGTGCAAAACCCAGCCATACGCTATCATGCTCAATGCTTCACCGATTGCCTGCGGCAAGACGACTTCAGCACGGGGGCGTTCGATGGCGAATTTGTCCAAGTCAGGTCGGTGATTGCTGGAAATATCAATGCCTTGGCTGTGTGCGTGCCGTCGATAGTTCCAGTCCGTTATTTTTCCTTGTGTATATGCAGCAACCAGATTGCCCACGCCAAGGGGAAGATAACACAAACCGATCTGCACCTCGTTGAAGCCGTATATGCGGCTGAACTGCGAGGTGATGGTACCTGTGACAGCAAAATAGCCTGCGATAGCCACACCATTTCCCAGAAGGATCAGAAAAACATCTTTATGGAAAATAATGGTAAGAGCCTTGAGCGGGTTGGGAAAACCAAGATGAATGCCTGCCGAGGAATGAGCCTCGGCCCGTTGACGTCGAGAACAGAGCTGATGCCCCGACAAGTTCCATATTGGGGGAGATCGTGAGCCATTGCCGACAACCTTACGGGCAGTTTCGGGAAGAAAAAGCACTAGCACGATGAAGAAAGCACCTGCAAGGATTGCCAGCAACCAGAATATGAAGGGCCAGCCTAGGAACTGCGTCAAAAGCCCCCCGATTATAGGCCCTACCGACGGGCCAATGATGAAGCCGGCCGACACATATCCAATGTACTTGCCGCGCTCGGCGGTAGTGACGACGTCAGCAACAATAGCATTGGCGAGCGCAATAGTGCTGCTACCACCAGCACTCTGGAGACATCTCAGAATGAGCAGCGCGGCGTAGTTGCGCTGCAGGGCGAGCCCGATGTTGGCGGCGATGTACGCGATGAAGCAAAGGATATAAGCGGGCCGCCGCCCTGCATTGTCGGCGAGCCCGCCAAAAAAAGTGGGCGCGAGACCTTGGAAGATCTATGTTATCGTGTTAAGCACTTCTTCTCATCTTTCAAATGCTGTGTATATTCACCTACCATATACGTTGACAAGGTAAGGTTGATCAAGGTATCGCTCACGTGGAACTGGTCGGCAATGGTGTCAGTTGCGGGCAAGTAGATGTTGGCCGACAAGGAAGAGAAAACACTGGCCACCGAAGCTATCAGGACAATCAATGCTCTTGTCCGACGAGAGAAGGTCGAGTAAACCTCGGTTTCACCGGGAGCTGGATCCGGATCTTCTTCTGGTGACACTGTATCCGACGGCACCCTTTCTGCTTTGGGATCCGGGCCGTCACAGTATTCCTCTTTCGACTTCATGGTGGCCATGATATGTGTGCTCTACGTTGCACCAAAATAATCCACCGGGCTAGAGCTCGACCGCCGCGAGATCAGGTGAAACAAAGACTAACCAGCAGCGCGATGAACCCTTCTTAATATCCATGCGTGTTGGAGGGCTCTGACTTATGCCTGCAGCTAATCATTCAAGGACAAGGCTGATCAGTATCTGCATGGTCGATCACATCACCAGGTCCCGGACATTGTCTGGTCCAATAGCGCACGCCTGTTCCCAAGCTACCACGGGATATCGTGCATAGTTAATGATGCTCGTCCTCGGACGTAGGAAGCATCAGTCCAGCGGAGAGATTACAGAATGCCCCATAAGGGCTTCTTGATTTTTCTGTTGATGTCGAGATCATATCAAGAGATCTCGGCTTTTCAGCTATGCTTTTGGGCGCTATATCTCCCGCCTTGTTTCTTATCAGGTGCTATGCAAGGTGTGTATCCCTGCGATACCTGCAGCCTGCCGTTCATTTACCCCCATCAGCCCCTTCCCACCCAGGGGTTCCTCTCAGGAGTTCCTCGTTCTCCCAGATGTTCATATCTAAAATGATCCAAATGATCCATAATTTCATTACTACACACCACTGACACTGCCAACACCTCTTCGGCACCATTTTATCGATGCCTGAGGATCATCTCCAGTTTTGGCTTTGATGATTCGAGCAACGTCATCCTTCTCTACCAAGTGGACGAATTACATCGGAAGATTATCTCAAGTCAGCTGAATCCCTTGTAGCGTTGCTGTGTTGAGCTGAGATGCGTGTCCTCCGCTGGGCTGTTCTTGTTGGCCGGTACGGCGAGACCCCCATAAGCGTGCGGGACGGGGAACTCATGTCCGGAGATTTTACGGTCAACCCGTTGCTTATATTTATTGGCACTAGAACCAGGGACTATTGATTGGCGTCCACACGGTGAGCTGCTCTTCTGTTACTTTGGGTCAATTAAACTGCATCTGGACAATGGGGAAATGTTCACAAATGGATATGTCCAATAGTAATGTCTAACCGGAGTAAATGCCGCGGAGTCATATAATCTATATATAATGAGAAAGACGCGGAATGGGTACTAACATATTTATCATTATATATTGTAGTGCGTTGCACCCGCTAGGAAGTCGAGGTTCAATTACTAGGCTTTATGTGCTGAACGCTTATCCTGTAGACAAATGATATATTGCTAGTTACTGGGAAAACAAAGTGACGTTTTACGAGAACAAGTGAAAATTCGGGAGAAAAACTCGTCCAAAGAGAGACATGTATTGCTTCAATAATATTAGGATAAAACTTCCACCGAATCTATTGTATTACCATCCCAACCAGAGCTCAAAAGTCATTAGAAGTAGCAGCAGTTCATGAGCATGTGTGGCGGATGCTGGCTACTGTGAGTACTATATATTGGCTAGCGCTAATGGTTCACACTTCCATGCGTTCCAATCTTAACAGAAAGGATATGGAAAGGAAAAACAAATTTCAACAGTAGTACTATGATCTATCGATATACCTTACAAATCTCGAAGTAATTACATCGAAGATGCAATCTCATCACATCGTTCCCTCACACTAATAATGCATACTACCATCTCACAGTCACCCCACAACCCCAGCTTCAGAAAACCTCCCGCTTAACCACCCCTTCTCTTTACTCATGGAACATATAACAAATTTCCAACGAAATCAGTATATCAAGCCCGGGTGGTCTAGTGGTATGATTCTCGCTTAGGGATACAAACCCAAGCATATCTGCGAGAGGTCCCGCGTTCGATCCGCGGCTCGGGCCTTGAATCTTCTTTTTGATTTTTTTCCTTCCTCTTACTCTTTCTTCTACACTGGCTGCTGTACTCTATCATTCAATAAATAAGTAGAGAAATGCTTTCTTTGCTTGTTACTTTTCGTGAAACGATATGTTCTTTCTGTTGCTCGCTATATATGCTTGTTAGTAACCCTAAAGTCGCGCCCGGGAAAAGGTAGAGGAACAAACAGTCTGCTGAGCGATTTCCAGTAGTTGTTTGAGTGGTCAAAAAAGGTCAATTGTCTGGTTTACCTTTAGCTACGTCATTTCTACCAGCACGCCTTATCAAACGCGAGGAGGAACTCTAAAATCCCCCCGATCTACAACAGATGGTGGATGGCATTACTCGACGTTCACGCCCGCTCTACCGCAGCAGGCCACTGCGCACCAGTCGCTGCCGCCTGTCCCGTCATTTCAAGCGCATCAGCATCAGTCCCATCAGCAGCGCGATCTTCCTCGTTCCAACCCTCGCGATCATCCTTTACCATCCGCACAAAGCAGACATCCAGCAGTAATGCCACCGCGCTAATCCCTACCCCAAAATACAAAGCAGCTCGATATCCCATTATCCGACCGGAGTGTTTCGCGATCTGATCCTCGATGGTAGCGGCAAAGCCGAGGCCGAGACTAACGCCGTAGAGGTTCAATGCGCCGATCAGCGAGCCTGCAATGCCTTGCTGGTGCCGACGGACGGAGTTGCTGGCGATGATTTGCGCAGCGGTGTAGACGAAGTCTGGACAGAAGGAGAAGAGTACGATGGAGGGGAAGACCTGCGCCCAGTAGGTTTGGTGTACCGGGACGGTGGCCATTAATACGTTGGAGATCAGGATGGTTATGGTGCCGATGGCTAGGATCCATTGCGCTGCGAATCGAGGGACGAGCCATGCCGCAAGGGAGGCTGCGCCCGTGGCACAGATTACGAAGGGGGTCCAGCCGACGGCGAAGTGCAGGGGGGACCAGTGCCAGACGTCTTGGAGCCAGAGGACTTGGTACCAGATTAAGGTGCCGACGGCCATGTAGTTGAGGAGGACGACGAGGAGTAGTGTGAGGATTGACGGGGCTTTGAAGATCTCAAGAGGCATGATAGGGTATTCTGTGCCGCTTTTCTCCCAGAGGAGGAAGGCCCCGAAGAGGATGACGGAGGTGATTAGGAGGGCGATTTCGTAGGGCGTGGACCATCCTACGCTGGGAGCTTGACTGCAGTAGAGCTTTAGTATGTATGTGTCTCCTCTCGAGCGGATATCGGCTTACTTCCAGACAAAGTTGAACAGGATCAGGGAACTTGTTCCCAGTGCGGATCCTATCCAATCGATCTTTCCGTGTCTGTCGAGGAGAGCCTCTCGTGAACTCAATGCCCACAAGGGGACAAATGTGGCAATGCCAATGCCAGCTCTATGATTCGGCCTCGTTAGTTATATCCCAACTAACAGGGTGCTAGCGCCTACATGAAGACAAAGAACCATTTCCATTCTGTACCCTCTATGAATGCGCCCAGGAACAACGCCCCGAAATAGCCCCCAGTTGGTGCCGATGCTGCAAAGAAGCCCAAACTAAGATTGCGCATGCGTCCTGGAGGATTGGTGCTTGCAATCATAGCTACTGCATTAGGCATGATGAAGGCACCACCTAGACCTGCGAGCGCCCGCATGGCAACGAATGCGTAAAAGTTGTCGCAGAAAGCGCTGATCAAGGTGCAAAGACTAAGCCATGCTCCGCCCGCAAGCAAAAGCTCTCGATGGCCGTAGACGTCGCCCAATCGCCCACTCATGAGAACGAATGTCCCTTGGGTCATTCTATAAAGTGTTAGTGTAATCAAGATGATCCCCCTGTTGCTCCAGCTGGTACTAACGCATAACTTGCACCAATCCATGTGGCAGAGCTTTCCTGACCACCCAAAGACTCCCCGAGCAGGGTCCCACCCGCAATCCCAGCAAAACTCACAGTCATCTGGCAACCCTTAGCATTGGAAGATCTATGAATGGATGGACACGGTACCTGCACAAGGTTGGCCAGGAGCAACAGCACGGTGATGGCCAACCGACGGGATTGAGTGATTTGGACTGAAGGCGCCCGCTCAAAAACTGCCTGGCCCGCCGTGGGCGCAACGCTCTGCTGGAGAGGGCCATTGAGCGGGTCTTGAGTGTCATCTGCAGGTGTTTGGGGTATAGAATGGAGAGGTGACGGGACCGCCGGATGCGACAACGACGGCGCAGGAGCTGTAACCTCGTAGTGAAGGGCCTGCACTAAGGACATGGTGATTGTAGAACGAATGTCAGCGAGACCTATTTGGTGGGCGTTACCAGCCTGGAGGATGAGGTTAAAATAACTCCATCCACATTATTAATTGCCTGCCCCATTTGGTGTCAGAACCAGGATTGCATCCGGGTTTAGGCTGAGTGCGGAAAATGCCGAAGCAGCACAAAGAGGGGCATGGATGAGCTATCAACTTCATCATTGAGTCACTCACCAGCATAGGGAAGATTAACCAGATAGGGTTATGATAGCCGCCGGAGACCTGGTTCCCGAGCCTTTGTTATCTTGGCTTTCCCGCTCTTTGCAATGCCGGACACGTTGCAGCTGGGGATTGAGCATCGAATGCGACTACCGATGCATGACCAGAAGAGTTTTCCGGAGTGCAGGGGTATGGCCTGCAAGATAGCTCGTGTGCACCAGCACATGCATCAAAGGGGACGGTTTTAGACCGGGAAAGTCACAGTGGAAGTTAAATCCCGGATTTAGCGTCATTTCTTAGTAACGATAAAGAGGTGAAAAGGCTTTCAATAGACTGCATACATCGTACTTCCTCTTTGCGGCATGGCCTCTCCGGAGACATGTATGACTCGGTCACTAACATCATGTTTTCAGGATGCATGCGCCGAGAATGGGTAAAAGTGATTCGCATGATAAGTGCCGGAGTGACAGATAAGTGTTGTTGAATACCTGTTGAAATGAACCGTAAAGCCAATAGTAAGGAGAGGAAAGACTCCGCCGCTCCTCTGCAAGCGCAAATAGTCTTGGTCAGTTGTCATCTTCTATTATGCACTGCACCTCGAGTTTCTCTCAATGTGTTTGGATGCAGCATGTCCCATGATTCTTAAGTTAGTCCATTTTGAGTGATATACATATAGTTTAGATGTTCTGACATGTTACAAATGACGTCTAACAACAAGGGACTGGGGGATGTTGACATGAACATTCTGTATATGCCTGCATTTATCGTCTTGTCGTATGCTCAGGACGAGCTATGCTGAATAAGGAAGGTCAATGTGTGGCTTTATGATCATTCTTGCGCGATTCGTACGATGCAGTAAATGGCGACATATTCCTGTCATTTTCCTTCCTTTTTCGAATACTGTATTGCCCATCTAATCCTAACAGGTACCAGACAGCATATTCTCTCGGAACAATGCTAGCACTTCGGGACAACCAAGCCATGAAGCATACCAGTTCGGCGTACGTCCTTGGTTATCGCTGGCTTTAATGTCGGCCCCGGCTGCGAGTAGGATTTTGGCAACGCCTGCATGACCATGCTGGGCAGCACAAGACAGAGGCGTTCGGTACCCACTCCTTACGTGATCGGGATTTGCACCTTTCAGCAAAAAGTAATTCGTCATATCCTCTAATCCCATATTAGCAGCCTCAACCATGGCGTCCGCAAAGTGGCGCTTCACCCTAGGGTTATATTCAACCAGCATCTCGACTGTCGATTGATGATTACGCCAGGCCGCACACACCAGGGGCGGACTATCCCATGTCTCGACCCCAATCATCGGGTCCGCACCGTGGTCGAGCAGTAAGCGGGTAAGTTCGTCGTCTCCAGCCCGGATAGCATTGATGAGGGCTGTCTCAAGTTGTCGGCGATGTATGTAGTTGACAGGTGCACCATTGCGGAGCAACATCTTCATGATGTCGACCTGTCTGCTACGTGCAGCGGCGCACAATGCCCTTCCAAGACTAGCAACCTCGGCAGTGCGTGGTAGGTCCTTCACATGGGAGATGAGGCATTCAGCCACAGCTAGTCTTCCAGCAGTCGTGGCTATCTCTAGGGGAGTGTGATCAAGCTTCGTGGGAAGAGTAGGATTTGCGCCCCTTTCGAGTAACATTCGGACGACAGGCAAGTGCCCTTCACGGATAGCGATTATGAGCGGTGTTTCGCCATGAACGCCAACGGGATAATCTATATCTGTTCCTAGATCCAAGAGGGCATGAACGATGTTTACGTGGCCATATTTTGCGGCTGTACAAATAGGGTGTGAATCTGTAGTGGTGATCCGAGTGTTTGCTGGAAGTTTCGCTCCAAAGGCGAGCAGCCTCAGGAGAGTTTGTAGCTGACCTTTGCTAGCTGCCCAATGAAGAAGGACTTTGCCCATGTTCCGCACCGCGCATTGATATAGACATGGGTTGACCCAGCGATATAGGCACTGGCTGGTCTGAGCGAAGCAGTTGAGGTCAGTTTCGCTTTTCAGGTGCCCCGCGATGATTGGGACCAACTCAGGTGGGAGGTGAACGAGTGGCATCGCGATAACGTTTAAATGTATCAGAAATAGCCACAGCAAATTATCAAGAGGTCAGAAGTCACTTGTAGGATGCGATTGAAGAGAGAATCCATATTTGATGTGTGAGTAGAAATTTGCATCCATGATGGCATCCGCAGCTCCCGGTGAGGCTGTTTCCCGATCGGGTCGAGAATTGAATTTACATGCAAACCTTGTTGCTCTGACTGTCCCTAATCGGCCAATGGATGTCGATCGTATGGCCTTGGACTTCTCCATTGAAGCAGCCGTTTACTACAATCTTCTCCTTGCATGTACTGGCCCCTTCAAGGACACCAGACTTTACAGTGGCAGCAACAGCTTCGTACAATTCATGTAGCGCCAGATTCCTCCCAATGCATGACCGCGATCCCAGACCGAAGGGAAAGAAACATAGCTCGCGCGTTGCGCAGTCAGTCTCATCAGCTAACCATCGCTCGGGACTGAACGCAAAAGGATCAGGAAACACATCGGGGTCATGATGGAAGACGTATATCGAGGCCCCGACCGAGACCCTTCTTGGAAGATACACGCCATCTATGTGACATCCGCCGTCAGGCGCAGCCCTGGTCAGAGGCGCAGGATTAGTCATAGCGAGCCGCAGGCCTTCAGTAATCACGCCTCGCAAATACGGAAGGCTTTGCAGCTCAGATGAGTTCGATTCGCCTAATTCTTGGTGAAGGCGCTTGCGGACGTGCGTCTGGCGGACAAGATGGAACAAGATGGTCGCCAGCGTCTGACCGGTTGAACTGGTCCCAGCAAATAGTGACCCTTCACAGATACCAATGATCTCGTCTTGCGTCACTCCAGCCGTGCGGAGACGACCGTGGTAAGTGTGTGCCAAGGTAGTAGGTTCCGTCTTCGCCTTTTCCTCAACGATCGATCTTGCGAATTGATCAACCCGACGCATTGAAGCTCCCCAGTTCCGATCCTGAATGGCGGCATGGAGAGACAACATTCTCAAAAACAGCCAATTTGGGAACATGGAATAATACCCAAAAGCTGCGATAGCCTGCAGCCAGGCACTCTCCGAGAATTTCGTGGGTGGTGAGTGAGTATCCAAGTCGACGGCCTCGGTTAGCGCTCCGTACGACCTATCGAACATGTAGCCTGTCATGACGTCCATCGACAGTCGCAAGGCCAAATCGAGGATGTCGACGCGGTATGATGCAGACTTCACAGCGCGATCTTTCTCACTGGCCAAGCGAGCGATGAATTGCTGGATGTATTGCTGGACATTCTGTGCCCCTGCCGCTTCTCGTATCCTAACAGGCGCAAATAGTGGCAGGACAGCTTTAGCGCGCTTATCGCGGTAGGCTTTGTCAATAGCGGAAAATATGGTGGGCTGCCCGTTGACATCGAAGTTACGATACCGAGCATCTTTCATGAAGCCCCCATTAGCCACGTAGATAGAAGCTAAGGCATGGGGGTCGGAGATGGAGACCTGATTCGGGGCGATGCGCAGTACTCGAGTGTCATATCGGCGATGGTAATAAGCAAGGGTCTGTGGCTCAGTACCGAGGAAGACGATGATCCACTGGGGGATGGACGAGATGCAAAAAATCCAAGGTCCAGGAATATGGGCTAGAGGATGGAGGGTGAGACGATAGATTGCCACCGTGATGAGGCTGATGCAGAGGAGGGTTAAGGCATCAGCTGCAAGAGTATCACCGAGCAGCATCATGATAAGCACAACACTCTTACCGAAGCACTACCAGGCAATCGGCCGAGGCAGTTTTCGTTATGAGGGATTGACCAGTGTGCCATTTGCCATTTGATTCGTGTCTCAGAAAGCGTTGATCTGAGCGTTGCCGATCTGCGTCGCAAGAATGACGAGCGGTGAGGGGTTGCAGGGTGGGAAGTAACCTTCTCAACAACTCTCTTTCTCCCTTGCAACGTCTACTCCATCGCCATGCATGAGACTGTAACTATCGATCATCTCTAATTCTAAGAAAAGCAAATGTTTATTTCCGAAGAATGAGAATGGCCATTGGAGTGGGAAATAATTAAGGTACCGCCCTGGTCCATGGTCCTGAGTTATATGAACCTCCCAAAAGTCGAGAGAGGCTAACAAGTAATTTGATTGCCAGTGGAAGCCGCGCCGGCCAATCCCAACCCAGGACCTTGCTGCTATTAATGGCCAGGGCATCACATTTTATCATTGCAATAGCCTGAAAGGGGAGGGGGATGTCCATCAAACACGAACCAACCGATAAATGAGAACCTTTCCCCGCAGTCCGAGCGGACGATCGGCGACGATCCCCTAGCAAGAACCACGGGTCGGCCAGCGAAACCCCTGAGGCGCCTGCAACTCGCTATCGAGATCCGAGGTTTCTCGTTTGTCTCAAAGACAGGCAGTTTCATATGCAACTGGCCGGGCTGTAGTCGCCTGACAAGCACGATGCTACATAAGCAGATCGTAACCCACCGTCTCGTTTGTAACTGCACGACTGCATTCTACACTCAGTTTCACCCATCATGACTACCAACGGCATTCAACCCGGCCACGTCGGCAATCTGACTCAGGATCAAGAGGCCAAACTACAACAGCTCTGGTCCATTGTCCTTACTCTGCTAGACGTGAAGTCCCTCCAAGGTGGAGATACCTCGGCACAGACCCAGCCCGACCAGCGTCCAAGCACGTCGCTCTCCCGAGCCGACACCGTCGTCTCCGCTCATGGCCAAACGGCTTTCACAGAAGACTTGTCTCAAGTCCTCCGGGAGAATGGCATGAGCAACCCTGACATCAAGTCCGTCCGGGAGTCGCTGAGCAACACCTCGATCGACGAACTCCGCTCGGGTTTGTTGTACACTGCCAAACATGACTCCCCCGACGTCCTTCTGCTTCGCTTCCTGCGCGCTCGCAAGTGGGACGTTGGCAAGGCCTTTGGTATGATGTTGAGGGCGCTTGTCTGGCGCAAAGATCAGCATGTCGACGATAAGGTGATTGCGAACCCCGAACTTGCAGCACTAGTCACGTCTCAGAACACGGTGGATACGCACGCAGCCAAGGAGTGCAAGGACTTCTTGGACCAAATGCGTATGGGGAAGTGCTATATGCACGGGACCGATCGGGATGGCCGGCCTGTTCTCGTGGTGCGCGTTCGTTTCCATCAACCCTCGAAGCAGAGCGAGGCAGTGATCAATCGCTTCATCCTGCATACGATCGAGACGGCCCGGTTATTGCTGGCGCCTCCCCAGGAGACAGTGGTATGTCTATCCAGCCTTTGATTCTATGGCCTCCCATGTCTTGTACCAGACTAATCATCCATGTGGCAGACCATCGTCTTTGATATGACTGGCTTTGGCCTTTCCAACATGGTAAGTTGCTCTGCAATCCAAGGATATCTGCACGGGGAACTGACCGTAACCAGGAATATGCCCCGGTGAAATTCATCATCGAGTGTTTCCAGGAGAATTACCCTGAGTCGCTTGGATATATGCTCATCCACAATGCTCCTTGGGTCTTCTCTGGTATGTTTGCCCTTCTAGTTCTCCTACCCTGTCCTCTCTAACGCAAGACAGGAATCTGGAAGATCATCAAGGGGTGGATGGACCCGGTGATCGTGTCGAAAGTGAACTTTACCAACAAGGTGTCTGACTTGGAGAAGTTCATTGCCCCCGAGCAGATTGTGAAAGAGCTGAAGGGCAAGGAAGACTGGACCTATGAATATGTCGAGCCGGTGGCCGGTGAGAACGAGCTGATGGCGGATACGGAAACGCGCGACCGCATCTACGCCGAGCGGTTGAAGATTGGCGAGGAGTTGCTGCTGCGGACTTCGGAATGGGTCTCCACCAGCCAGCGAAAGGACGAGGCCGCTACCACAACGGCCCGAGAGCAACGGAGCGAGACGATCGAGTCGCTGCGCCAGAACTACTGGCAGCTGGATCCTTATGTGCGCGGGCGCACATTCCTGGACCGGACAGGAGTAGTCAAGCCGGGCGGCAAGATTGACTTCTATCCGAGCCCAGATCTGGAGCCCGCCACAGCTAAGATGTTGGAAGTGGAGCATTTTGAGCGAACTCAGGTGAAGGTGGTCGATTTGCAATGATGGTTGGGCGATCGGGATTTGGCTGTTTACTTTGTAGATTCATGGCGTCAGATTTGGGAGTAATGCTCTTATGGGATAGTGGGTTTATTGTAGTTACCTGAATTGAATAATTCCTAACATATGTGCAAGATCCAACCGATATAAGTAACTTATATATTCATTCACCAAGAGGTAAATCGTCAGTATCTTCGTCAAGGGGATGGTGTACAGCAGAAGTCTCCCCCTTGGCGGCTTACCCCAATGGAGACTCCCGACCGCATAATCGCGCGATCCACGGGATTCGAGTTTCCCACGTGCTGAGTTACCACCCAATTCAATCTTATCCAAACTAATCACTGCTGCGACTAGTATGGATAGTCTTCTGTTGCTCTTCGACTCCAATGCTCTCTCATCTCTCCCATATACACCATGCTCCTACAAGATTCGGGATATGCTCAGAGGCAATCATGGCTCAGCTGCAGCGCAATTTAGCCCCATGCCGCGGAATCCGCTCCCTTGATCCATCATCTTCTCCCTGGCCCGCCCCTTTCCCACTTCCTTGCAAGCTTTAGTTGGCGCCCACTATCGGCGCCACCACTAGTCTCGGGGTCTTGCGGACGATCGATCCGGACACCACTGGCACTGACCAGCACTATCTTCTCTCAGTCTTACAGCCCAAAGCGCGACTGCAATCTAGTCTGTCTTCCTCTCTTGCAGGTGCCTTGCGCACTGATGTCCAATAATCTGGCATCTCGTTCCCCGCATTGGTTCCTGAAGATTCAGTTCACGCGCATCCCTCCTGACGTGATTGATGTGCCTAAATCTCTCCCCTGGCCATCACCTGCCTATAGCGGCCTAGTTGTCAGCACTTGGTCCGGGTGATGCATCTGCTAAGTGGCTACCGGGCTAGTATTGCTGCATCTCTGTACGAAGCCATGAGTTTAGAATCTACGGGTAGTGGCCCCAGCTGCTCAGCCGGGTTGAGTTTTCTCCTCCTCTGATCATCCTCCTCTGTTACCGTCTCATCTGATTGGCAGAAAGGCATTTGAAATTGATCGGGCTCTGCATCTGTGCAGCTGAGATGTGTCCCTCTTCCGATCACATCCATCCTCAACCAAGGGTACCCCTGTCCCCGATTGATAGCCATGTATAATCTCCGATTAGTGTACTTGTTCAGCTGAGAGAGGGGGTTACGACCATGTAATACAGTGGCTTCGGGGGTTATCCTTGTCGACCCGTCTGATTGGGTCTACCTTTCAGGCACTCGTCCGCGCATCCATGCTCCATTGGCATGATGAAGCCCCCGCCTGACATTCCTCTCTGCCGGACCCTCCTGACCTTCCAAGTTCGATCCATATTTATTTCTGCTGCCCCATGGCGCACGCATTGCAGTCCGTCACTGCAGCGTTGCGGCCCTCCCTACCTACCCCAAGGCGCATCCTCGTGGAATCCTGTCCACAATGGCCTTCTCCTTCCTTCGTATTCTTTCCTCCCTCCTCCTGGTCCTGCAACTGTCGACAGCAGCCTCGACCTCCACTCTTCGTCAATGCCTTCTCACCGCGGTGCAGAATGACCCGACCCTCGTCGCCGTTGATGGCGACCTCCTTTATCAGACGCTGGCCGTCCAGGTCTACAACCTGAACTGGCCCGTCACGCCGGCAGCCGTGGCCTTCCCCAAGTCCACTCAGCAAGTCGCCTCCATCGTCAATTGCGCTGCGTCGCTGGGCTACAAAGTCCAGGCCAAGAGCGGTGGCCACAGCTATGGCAATTACGGTACCTAATCACTCCCCTCGCTCGTCAGCCGCTCACCCTACTAACCTCACACCATTCTAGGCCTGGGCGGCACCAATGGCGCGATCAGCATCAACCTCAAGAACATGAAATCCTTCTCCATGAACTACACCAATTACCAAGCCACAGTAGGCGCCGGCATGCTCAACGGCGAACTCGACGACTACCTCCACAACGCCGGTGGACGGGCCATCGCGCACGGCACCTCCCCACAGATCGGCGTCGGAGGACACGCAACAATCGGGGGACTGGGCCCCGCGGCGCGTCAATACGGCATGGAACTCGACCACGTCCTGGAAGCCGAAGTCGTCCTCGCCAATGGCACCGTCGTGCGCGCCTCCTCTACACAGAACTCAGACCTACTATTCGCCATAAAAGGCGCCGGCGCCAGCTTCGGCGTCGTCACCGAGTTCGTCTTCCGCACCGAACCCGAACCCGGCTCCGCAGTCCAATACTCCTTCACCTTCGGACTTGGAAGCACCTCATCGCGCGCCGACCTATTCAAAAAATGGCAGAGCTTCATCTCCCAGCCAGACCTCACCCGTAAATTCGCCAGCATCTGCACCATCCTCGACCACGTCCTGGTCATCTCCGGCACCTTCTTCGGCACCAAAGCCGAATACGACGCTCTCGGTCTGGAAGACCAATTCCCCGGCCACACCAACTCCACCGTCATCGTCTTCACCGACTGGTTAGGCCTCGTAGCCCAATGGGCCGAGCAGTCCATCCTCGACCTAACGGGCGGTATTCCCGCGGACTTCTACTCCCGCTGTCTCTCCTTCACCGAGAAGACCCCCATCCCGTCCACCGGCGTCGACCAACTCTTCGAGTACCTCGACAGCGCAGACACCGGGGCATTACTCTGGTTCGTCATCTTCGATCTCGAAGGCGGTGCTATTAACGACGTCCTCATGGACGCAACGGGCTATGCCCACCGCGACACGCTGTTCTGGCTGCAGTCGTACGCCATCACGCTGGGATCCGTGTCCCAGACGACGTATGACTTCCTGGATCGTGTCAACGAGATCATTCGTAATAATACCCCCGGTCTGGGTAATGGGGTGTATCCGGGCTATGTGGATCCTCGGCTTCAGAATGCCCGCGAGGCGTACTGGGGGTCGAATTTGCCGAAGTTGATGCAGATTAAGTCGTTGTATGATCCGTCGGATTTGTTTCATAACCCGCAGGGTGTGTTGCCTGCGTGATTGTGAGTCCAAGATTACTGGGTATGGTTTCCGACTCGTATATAGGCTTTGATTCTTGGATAATAAATTCAGTATGTAACTGGTTCATCGTTGATTTTGTGAATCAGCCTCCGCTCCGTCTGATTATTCGATATCATGGTATATGTCGTATAGTATTTCGCATCATGGTCTAGTCACATGCTGTCTACTATTCTATCCTGTCTATATAGTAAGTATATTGTACCTACAACTTCGCTGCCGGTCCATCCGTCCGAAGAACCGCCAACGCGGCGGGCGTCACATCCGCCAAGGTACGACACCCCGTCAATTGCATGCAGCGTTTGAATTCTTCGTAGAGAATATCCAGGACGCGAGAGACGCCGTTTTCTCCATCATACTGTTATCAGGTAGTTAGCAAACTGCCACTTTTCCTTTCGTTTGGGTAACGGGAACAACATACAGCTAACCCCCAAATCGTCGGCCTCCCGATCCAGCAACACTCAGCCCCCAATGCCAATGCTTTGAAGATATCTGTTCCTGTCCGGATACCCCCGTCGATGTGTACGCGTATCTTCCCTGCTGCGGCTTCGACGCATTCCGGCAGTGCGTCGATTGTGGGCACGACCTCGTCTAATTGTCTTCCGCCGTGGTTGCTCACGATTACCCCGTCACAGCCGTATTCTCTGGCAAGGAGGACGTCCTCGCCTGTTAGGACGCCCTTGATCCAGATTTGCATCTTCGTGACGGACCGCAGCCACGGGATCTCTTTGGCCCAGCTGTGTGCGTCTGAGTTTGTTGCGACGAAGCCTGCGTCGTGTGTGACCTGTTGCAGTTTCTCGGAGGTTACGCCCATCATGGGCCAGGAGAGGCCCTCGGGGGTGCGGAAGTCGTTGCGGGTTTCGTTGTAGCGGTATCCCAGGACGGGACTGTCGGCTGTGAGGAAGATGGCTTTGCAGCCTGATGCTTCGGCGCGACGGATGATTTGGGTTTGCAGGGCGCGATCGCGAAGAGTGTATAGTTGCATGGTGTGTGTTGCTGAAGGGTTGAGTTGTTGGCCTGCTTGGACGACTTCTTCGACTGGGTATGTGCTGAATGAGGAGACGGCCATGGGGATGTTGCGGCGGGCGCTGGCTCGGCTGCTGGCTAGTTCACCTTGTGGGTGTGCCATTGCTTGGATGCCGGTTGGGGAGAGGCCGAGTGGGAAGTCGAAGGTTTGGTTGAAGAGGTTGAGTCGTAGGTCTAGTTGGGAGACATCGACGAGAACTCGTGGGCGCAGTCGGTATTTCTTGTAGGCGGTTGAGTTCTCCGTTACGGTGATTTGGGTGGTTGAGCCGGAGTTGTAGAATTCTGGGGTATTGTTAGTGGATTGTAGGGTCTGGATAGATAGTGAATGCGGACCTCGCGCTTTGAGAGGGAGTTTCTTCGATCCGGCGTTCTTGATGTCCTCGATGCTGAGCATCAATTCGGGCATGGAGGGAGCCATGGTGGATGTCGCTAGGTTAGCAGGATTTCTTTCGGTCGGAGAAGGATGTTAATTGAAGAATTGAGTCGAAGATGGGTTGGGGGAGGTGTTACCCCTCGTTTATGCAAGTGGATCGTGTCTTATCGAGGGCGAGCGGGGATACAATGCCGAGTGACTTGTCTCTGAATCTGCAGGTTGCTAATCAGCCATTGGTGGCCGTGCTTCGTACCGCCATTTGTTCGCGTCGCCGATCCCTATTCACAAGTACTACTAGTACTACTACTAGTAGTAGCTTGCTATGCAATTGACCAATCGATTAGAGGATGTGTAGGGGTCACGGTACTCTGTAGGAAGCCCTTGGTAGATGGGGGTGAGGATGTGAGGATATCGTGATCGTCGTAGCGATGTAGTCGCATGCTTTGGGCTCTCCAATGCAATTCCCATGACGGTCGCACTTTGCTGTGCAAGACTGTAGTTCTTTATAAGCTACATCCGAGCTTTTAGCCACTTGAATCTTGTTTCTCCTCGTTCCGGTCCATCGTCATGGCACGAAGATCTGTTGTTGTGTATTATATCAAGGGGATAAAATGCGATAAGACGAACATAGTACCTAAGCAAACGCATTTCATTAGTGTCCTGAGATTCCAAATAATCATCGAGTAAGAAACAAACCCACTGATTGCTCGCGTCAACTGGGACAAGCTAAGATGGTTGTTGTAGTATGGAGGAGCCGGATATCGGCGTGTAGGATTGATCGGTCGGGCCTGGATGAGTTGGTTGGAATCAAGGAACAGCAAGAACAGCTGCGTTGACAGTGCCAATAATGGCAAGACATAAGTATGGAATAGTATCAAGAGCAGTGGATGTAGGAAGGTGCTGATTGTCGGGGTGGAAAGGCAACTGCCTGTTGCGGAGTGATGATCAAGAGATGAACTACTCTTCGAAGGGTATGGTAGTAGAGAATGTGGTATATGAAGACAAAGGCTCAAAAACTTACAATGAAGCTCAATTTCTTCTATTACTAGTAGTTGACAGATGGGTGTCGACCACTAAAAAGGGGGTGTTGGAAGGTTACAAATAAAGGCGGCCGGTTGGATGGATGGAGTGATTTGAATAACTTCATATTGGCCGGCTCATGAATAAGATTACAATAGGTACACATGCGTGGTGGTGCGGAAGGGCAGGTACCGTACGGGAGGGAGAAGGAGGGTAAGTACAGGATGAGAAGAACCGATGGGGATGGCTTCACCCAAGACGAAATGGGTCGATTGCGGCAAGATCACGCTGATGCGGTAAACGAAGACAAGACAGAATGGCTGGTAGCATAGGTAGTAAGTACTAAATAGCCTACTAACACTAACATCTAGTTTCTCTCCCACCACAGAGGAGTAGCCTCCTAGTAAGTAGGAGATTTGTATAGCCTCACGCAATCCTTAAAGGAACAAAACACCAAAGCAACAACAAAAGAAAAAAAAAGGTGCCGGTTTAACCCAGTTACTTTCCCTTCAATTAACCTGGTCTTCGTGCTTAGTATCGAGTTGTAGCCGGTGGGCCCTACACTCTTAGACGCACACATTGAAGACTGCTTCAGGAACTGGCCTCGATATCACGCCGGTAGGGGCCGGGACTGGGATTCGAACGTGTGCCACTGTGTTCCCTGCAACCTTTACGGGAGGTAGTAACAGCCTTCTCTTAGGGCGACACTGGGCGGCTCATCAGCGTACCTTGAAGTCCTCCGGCCATTCGACCATCGGGTTCACTGGGTTAGTGGGGCTTCTCTTTTATCAAATATAAGGGAGCGTTGTAAGGATTTGAGGCTCCTGATTGGCTGGCGGTTTATGCAGAGGCAAGAGCAGCTGGAAGAGGGCTGGTGGACATATGAGGAAGGTGCAGTGAATTGCGCGAGGTGAGGTCATTGCGGGAGTTGGTAGTTGTGCGGAGGGCGGATAGAGAGTGGAGTGGATATAATAGCGGATATCAAAGATTGCGGATGGGGATGGCGGCCGCGGAGGTCTTGGCGACCACAATAGCTTTCGAGGATCAGTTTGATTCTATCATTGGCAATTTGCATGAACTTCATGGCATGATGGTATTTTGAGAAATGGAGTCCAATTGGAAATGTAGAGCTGAAATCATGGGATGGCCATATTATATATAGCTTCGGACTATTCTCACTGTTGAGGACATCCATCGTTGGACATAGTTCTATGATATGTTAGCAGAACGGTCTCTAGAAGAATTTTTTTTTTATGTATGCTCTTTCAGTCCTGAGACTATGTATCTTTCAAATAGATATAGTTCCAACTCCAGTTCCCAGTTCTCGTAACTCATATTTCTTCTGTCAGATTTGATAGTCGTTGACAAAATATTCCCCCACGGATTATTGTGGGAGACGGCAGTATTATCCGCTTGCTGACAGACCAGGCGGTGAGACGGGCCCACCTAAGCGATGCCCCATCCATGTCTATACACCACCATCATCAGCTCTACTATGAACCCCCAAAGATTAACAGAAACCTCATTGCATTGGACAGGTATTCCTCTTCCTTGACTCAGTTGATTCTGGTAAGTAGTATGTTTTTGCTTTTCCTCATGGAAGAAGTAATAACTCCCTCTTCTCATTAATGGGTGATCAAGCAGTCTACCAGGACTGCTGTTCTAAAGTGTACTCTATGTACTCTGCAAGTCAATATGCCTGGACGCGATTATCAGCCATTCATAGAAATTGTTTCAACAGAATTTGTGATCTCATCTACTTCATCGTCAGCTCGTGATCGTTTTATACGAAGTTCAGCTAAATCACGTACCCCTCATCCCATTGAGTGCTTCAAACGCAATCGCATAGTTTCCCAAAGCCTTCGAAACCTGCCGCAGGCTCTGTCGCAGTTCATCCAGGAACCCGCCTAGAGATCGACTGCTCGATGTCGCCAAGTCATTTCCCACTGGCTCACGCATCGCCCGGGCCTTCAAGCACAACATGATCATCGCATAGCTTGCCTGCATAGCACAACAGGCAAAAGTCGGCATCATCCGTGGTATCTCCACCCGGGAATTGCGTGAAAGGTAAGGTGGGTTAGTCAATGGGATCTCATTCGTCGGATTTGGATACGGCAGGCTGTCCAGAAGGCTGACAATGTTTAATGCTGCATGAAGGCAGATTTTCGAGGACGCGTGTGCGGAAAACGGAAAGTTGATAGCTGCGGGCTCGGAGAGCACGGAAGATAAAAAGCTGTCGGGCGAGGACGTAGGTGGTCTGGAAGCTTCAGCGACCTGCACACGACAGCATCTAGGCCCTGCAGCTGCGTCCAGGTCGCAATGGCGCTTGCGAAAGACGGGAATATCTTGGAAAGCGCAAAATCGGTGAGTCTTAATCCTAGCGCTACATGGAGTTAGTCATGGCTGATACAAGAGTAACATGCAGGTATATACCTGTGTAGCTTGATTTCTGCAATGTGTCTTATCGTGTGCAGGGCAACGACGTCCGGTGAGTCCTGGGTTGCGACAGGCGACTTTATGGCTGAGTCTTGAATCGACACGCGACATGGATGCAGCAGAAATGTTATTTGGTTGTCCAGCTCTGTCATCCGCTGATGAACCCAGGAGGCATTGAAGTGAGACTTTGTGGTTAGAT